AAAAAAGTTTAGTTAGAAATTTGAATTCAAACAGGATATTTTCCTTCCTTCTCTGTCTCTCAGTTCGCCCTGTCTTTCCGTCGTGCCAGAAGTGCCGTCCAGAAATCGATGAGCAGCTCGATATCATTCAGCAAATGTCGCCAAGCAGTTACTGTCACACCAAAATTGTGGGTTCGTGTCAAAGAAAGTGAATTGATAGTCAGTTGGAGCCAGCTAGTATGCCAAGCTGCGCTGGATTTGCTTCTCTAACTCACTTTAGTTGCCATATGTGAGAAGAGCTTTAGTTGCCATATGTGAGAAGAGCTTTATCTTTGCTCACTGAGTTACATTGACTGCTGCGTTGGGCGGATCTTCACGATCCTGGCATGCCGGAAGCAGGCCCTAATCATGCGAAGATGCATGCTGAAGGCTGGGACTTGAGATACTCCATTTCGTTTAGGGCGGGAAGGCGTCCTTAGGATTCATCAGACCATTTGATCTTTACTATCTCCAAACTCCAAACAAACATTTTTGAGCAGAATGATCACCTGTATGGAATATTTGGATCATACATGCAACATCATTTTGAACAATACGGGCTGTTTTGGGTGAACACACTTAGGGGTTCTTACGGTAATGGTTATTAAGCAGCTGTGCTTAGATCGCTGTGCCGCGCGGCCGTGTCCGGCTAATTCGCTGCTATTTACAGTACATTCATGCCTCTCGAAGTCCTCGAAGTGCATTCCACTGCGCAGGCTCCGGCGGCGGGTGCTTCTAGCGACTGCGCTCTCGTTGTGGCGGCGTGCGCATTTTCGGACATGGAGTAGTCCAGCCGGGACACCCCGACAGGAGGGTCCTGGTAGGAAGTCCTTCCATGTTCTTAAGTTGTGGGTTCAACACCATCGCCATGATTGGCCGTCCAAATGCCACCTGGCCGCGGTTGGAGCCGCCTTGCGCGGTTGGGGAGCGGGTGATTCGAAGCACGACGATCTCGAGGTGACCGAAATCGTTCAAGAGTGCTGCAGCCATGCAGGGAAAAAAGGAAAAAGCACCTCCCCAGACGCGACCCTGGGCCCTGCTAAGTAGGGGCCGTGCCCTCATATGGAGGGGTCCGGACCTTCGAACCCCAATCCCCTATGGTGTTCGGGATTCGGGACCCGTCGGCCGTCGTGTGAACGGAGCGTCTGGGTCGAAAATCCGACCGTCGCTTTTCGTGGCAGGCGCAAGGGAAACCTCATGTTTTGGTGGTCCAAAGTCGACTTTTCGTGACAGGTGCAAGGGATCGGAGCAAATTACTTTGAAATGCACTTTTCGTGGCAGGTGCAGCACTTTGGACATGGTGGTGATCGTCGAGGAGCTCAGATTTCGTGACAGGTGCAGTGAATCGGGACTTTTGGACATGTGGCTCGTTCGCAGATTTCGTGGCAGGTGCAGCACTTTGGACATGGTGGTGATCTTCGAGGTGCTCTGATTTCGTGACGGGTGCAGTGGATCGTGACTTTCGACATGTGGCTCGTTTGCAGATTTCGTGGCAGGCACAGCACTTTGTGAACCTCGAAGTGCAGATTTCGTGCCCGGCACAGCACTGTGTGCCCTCAGATGCTCACCTCTCGCTCTCACTCACACTCACACTCACTCACTCGCTCTCACCCTCTCTCAGACAAAGGTTCATCCAGAATCAGAATCCACAGGGAAAGGAATGAGGGAAACGCGCGGTGGCTGAGTCGGCAACAGTACTTGAAGTGTTTGAATTAGTTACTGAATGCTTAGCGGCTTAGCGGTCCTTAATTACGCGCAATAGTCAGGGAGCGGGACTTTAGTCTTAGACCGCCCGGGTACCGACGCACAAGCGTGTCGAGTACCATTTCCTTCTGTTACCCTGATTAGAAGTGCAGGTACCTTTACAGCCCTCGCCAGGCGGTGAGTGTGACTGTGACTGTGACTGTGTGAGTGTGAGAGTGAGAGTGTGAGAGTGAGAGAGAGAGTGAGAGTGGGTGTGAGTGAGAGTGAGTGTGAGAGTGAGTGTGAGGGTGAGTGTGAGAGTGAGAGTGAGAGCGTGAGTCAGTGAGTGAGTGAGAGAGTGAGAGAGTGAGAGGGTGAGATTGAGAGTGAAAGTGAGTGTGATTGAGAGTGAGAGTGAAAGTGAGTGTGAGTGTGAGTGAGAGATAGTGAGAGTGAGTGTGAGTGAGAGTGAGTGTGAGTTTCTGAGGTTTGTGAGGTGGCTATTCAGGTTTTGACCACGTAATTTGCCATAGGCAGCCATGCGCGACACTCGGCGACACTACCCGTATTTTTCTCTGTTGCCCTCTTGGTTTGCTCTTTCTGTCTTTCTTTCTCTCTTTTGTCTAAGCCTTGTTAGGTGGCTATTCAGGTTTTGCGCCCGTAATTTGCCGCTCTTGCGGCAGACATACACGCCTCTACACCTATCTTTCTCTCTTGCCCTCTTTGGTTTGCTTTTTTTCGGTTCCTATTCTTTCCTTCTAAGGCTTGTTAGGTGACTATTTACGAGCGAGCGCCGCACTGCGGCACCTTGTGTGTGTCGCACTCCGTGTCCAATTCAATTTACACTATCTGCAGCGGGCCATCCCTCTCACCAGTGGTGGATGGCCACCGAACAGGCCGCCGCCATCACCACGATCTTTATGACCATCACCTCTTTGCACCCCAATGCGTCTAGATCTCTAGACTTTCTGCTGCTGCACCTCTAGACCTCACACGCACACTGTTTGGGGTCTCTTGCCGGGATAATTCAAGTTTGGGACAGGATGTTTTCGCTCCGAGGTGTGATTATATTGCATCCGCGCACATACACACTGGAATGTGTTTTTGGGAGTGAAGTACTTGTAAGTCCTCAAAAGTCTTCCAAGACCCTCAAAATCTCAAAGGTCGCTTCTTGTTACTAGTAGCGATGACCTCCAACCTACTAGCGATGGCCTCGACCTAGTAGCTTCTTGCTCCTAGTAGTGCTGGTTTGGTGATTTTTTGGGATCACAGAAGCGTTGCAGTGCTGACTCTCAGTACGAAACGCCCGAGTATGTCGAGCGCCGAACAGCCTGGGGTCCCGTTGGGTTCGTGCGTTTCAATGTTCGGCAATCATAGTGACATAGTGCACGGTACAGCCTCTCAAGAGTGTGAAGTGCCTAAACTAGAATACTATTGGCATTCTTTTTGAGTGCACTCAACGGCATTCTAATATCAATCGAAGGTGATTTTCCTTTTCCAGTATTTCGCTGCAAAAAACACTTCGAAGACGCACTCCACGACCCGCTGTCGCTCGCTTTCGCGACAACGGCTCCGACACTTTCAGTGAAGAACCGAAAACAACTCGGAAAGCGACTTAGTAGCTCCTGGCATCGCTACTAGAAGCAAAGTGCATCGCTACTAGTAGCAAGGACGCTACTAGCGAAGTTCCTTATTTCTCCTCTTTCGAACAGAGTCAACAGAAAACCAAAAAGTTTGGTCTTGTGCACGTGAAACGCCAAGGCCGAACTGTTGGCTCAGCGCGAGGCCTCCGGTTCCAGCGTGGTGAACAACGCCGCGAGCCCAAGACGAAACACCTTTTCAAAGCAAAGAAGAACGTAAAAACAATTAAAAACACAACGAAGAAAGGCACCTTACTTTCCTTTTCATCTCTTTTTTCTGAACCTTTTCGGCGGTGCTTCAGCTGAGCTTTCGGACACACACACACACACGGTTTGTGGTCAACCTTGGTTACAAAAGATCACTCAATTTTTGTGCGAAAGTTCTGGCTCAAGCTGCGTGTTTGTTGACATTTTGCTGTAGATTCTTCA